TAAAGAAAGAAGTACTTAGAAAAAAAGTCTTATAGTTATATATAGTATATAACACTTAAGAGAATTAATATATATATTAAGTATTAATTATATAAATATTAATTAAGTTTATAATATTAACATATATAATTATACTATATAAATAACCTATAAAATTATTATTATCTTTATATAACTATAGACTATATAGTTATTTACTATACTTATAATAAATAAACTTATATATAACTATAAACTATAACTTATATAAGTACACTTTTATATTTATACGTTTATTTTTATACTTTTATACTTATTATTCCTAGTTATTAACTATAGTTATACTTTATAGTTATACTTTATAGGTATAGTTTATAGTTATAGACTATAGTTATATTTTATAGTTATTGTTTATTAAACTTTATAAGTATACTTTATAGTTATATTATATAGTTATAGTTTATATAAATAGTTTATAGGTATAGTATATAGCTATATTTTCTAGAAATAGCTTATACTAATAGTTATAGTATATATTTATATTCTATAGTTATAATATATAATTAATATACTTTTTTATAAGGTATTTACTTATAGTAAGACAAGTATATATACTCTTTAGAGTAGTAAAAAATATTCTATTTTTACTTTTTTCTTAATTATTATTTTTATTTTTACTTCTACTTATATTTTACTTAATATATAAGACTATATACTATATTAGTTATAATAAACTATATTAATACTACTATTATTAGTTATTTTATAGTTAGTTATAATTTAGTTATTTATTATATTATAAGTTATTTTAAAGTTACTTATTATATAATTAGTTATATTATTAATAGTTATATTATAGTTAGTTATTAAATAGCTAGTTATACTTTAGTTAGTTATTATAAAGTAAGTTATAATATTACTAGTTATTATATAAATAGTTATTTATAATAACTTTAGTATAGTTAAATATATTAATAAATTATACTTATTATACTATATATTAATAAATTTAGTATTACATTATATTTATTATTAATATAGTGCTTAATAGTTATTACTAAATCTTAGTTTTTAAGTATATAATATTTTAAGTAAAATATATAAATAATACTATACTATATATAAAAATTAAGTAATATTATATATAGTTAATTTACTAATTTTAATTATTTTTATTTTTTATATTGTATAGTTGTATATTATATAAAATACAATATAAATACAATATAATACAAATACAAATACATGTATTGTCTCTCTTATATAATATAATACAAATACATGTGTTATATTTGTATTGTATTATATTATATTTATATTATATTTTTGTATTATATAGTATTTTGTATTTTTTTTAAACTCTCTAATTATATATAATTAAAGATAAATTATAACTTATACTAATATATTATATAATAGAATCTTATTAGTAATACTATAAAGTATAGTATTAGTTATAATTATCATAACTAGGAAGAAAGTAATATAAATAGTATTTTAAATTATAATATTAAAGAAGTAAAAAAATACTATATTACTAATATTATTCTAAATACTTTTTATAGTAATAATATTAGAAATCTTAGTATTAATAACTAAGTAACTAAGAGTAAATAATAATATAACTACTTTTAAATATATATAATATATATAAAGAAGTAATAGTATTAGTATTAATAAAATATTTTTTTTAATATATAGATATATATATAAACCTACTAATATATTTTTACTTATATATTATTAGACTACTATATAAATATATATAAAAAGAATTAATCTTGTATTTTTTCTTTGTTATTTATATAATATATAAAATATAATATATGTATTTATATTTGTATTATATTATGTATAGGAAAAAATATAATATAAATACATGTATTATATTACACTAGAAAAAAAATATAAATACATGTATTGTATTTGTATTATATTTGTATTATATTTTTTCAATACTCTAGCTATTCCTCTTTTCCTTTGTTAGGTAGCCTAGATACCCTGCCCTTTCTTACTAATAGTAGTAGTAAATCTACTAGTAAGTGTTAGTATATTAAAAATATATTTATATTTTAAAATATATATTTACTTAAAGAATTAGATTTAATCTATATATATACTTATTAAAGTTTTTTTTAAGTAACTATCTTAGCTTTAAGTCCTTAAAGCTCTAGATTTATAGGCTAGTAACTTTAAATATCTTTTAGAAAGATATTTAAAAGTGTATTTTATATAGAATTTATATTTTTTTTAAAATACAAGGCTTTTTAGACTAAGTTATAAGTATTAAATTATATAATTAATATATATTATAGATCTTAAAATTATTACAAGGGTTATTTAATATAGTTTCTATTTTTAGTAATTATATACTAAGATATACTAGTAAATACAACTTATATTTATATTATATTTTTTGCCTAGCACTATATAATATATGTTAGTGCCTATACTAGAAATAGATTTCTTAAAACTAGTATAGAAAAGCGGGGCTATTTCCTAAAAAGGAAATAAAAATATTAATAAATTAAGAAAAAAAGGTTTATTTAAACCTTATTTTACTTTATTTTTATATAGCTTATATAAGCCTTTATAATTACTAATACTTTTTTACTACACTATAAAGGTCTTAACACTTGTATAGAATCCTTGTATTTTTTTTTAGAACTCTAATCTTTCTTTAATTTAAATAAATATTAAAGAAAAAATATATTTTTATATTTTTAAAAAAATATAAAATACAAAATATAGATAGTGTATATTTAATAAAAGAATTAATTTCTTAGTAACCTTAACCCTAACTTTAGAGCTTTTTATATTTAATTAAAGTAGGATTTATATTTAGTATTATTATAATTTTACTGTATTTCTAGTGTAACCTTAAGCTTTATAACTATAGTATACTCTTTAAAGCCTTTAATAAAAATATATTTTAAATATATTACCCTTTAATACACTAGTAGGTATATATTAGTAGCTAAGCTAGTTAAGTATATACTTTTAATTAATTAGTTATCTTTAAGATAACTAATTAAATTACTCTTAATAGTAATTTAGTATATTTATCTCTTATTATTATTAATAATAGTAAAAGTTTAATACTCTATAGTATTATAACTAGTTATACTACTACTTAATATAGTTAAATAGGTAATAGATTTAATAACTAACTAAGAGCTAAAGCTATAGCTAATAATAGCTAGTCTTTTAGACTAGTAATAGGTAGGGCCTAGTAGGGCACTAGCTGTTAGCAGGATGTTAGCCTAACTAATAGATCTACTAGCAAGGCTAAGAAAGTAAATCTAAAGGTTAGCTATATATTATTCTATAACACTTATACTTATTTCTTAGGTATTCTAAGGATTTCTCTAGTATTCTTAGCTATTAAGTAGGTTATCAAGTAAGTTAATAGGTAGGTTACTAAATTATAGGTTATTATTTTACTTGTTTACCTTATATAATCTAGAACTATATTCTTAGTTCTAAGAGATCTCCCTAGAGGAATAGGTCTTACTTAAAAGATCTATTCTTTCTATATAAATATTATTATTATATAGTATATATAGCTGTTTTTTAAGTAGTTATACTTATATCTAGTGTATATAGTGTATATAGTATTACTAATACTATATTATATATTTTACTTCTTTATTATATATCTATTTTACTTTATATATATATAAGGTCTTTAAACCTTAATATCTAATAGTTTCTATATAAGCTTATCTAAGTATATAATATAAAAAAGAGAAAAGGCACTATTACTGCCCTAGTTACTCTAAGGGTAACTAATAGACTAAGGTACTACCTTATCTCTGATAGCTATAAGCTATTAAAGCTTTAGAGCACTAAGAACTTTCTTAGTAGCTTACTTAAATATTTTAGTAAAAACCTTAATAGCCTTACTAAAAAGGTAGTAAAGAAGTAAGTACTTAAGTATATTCTAGAGTTTAATATATTAAGGGTTTATTTCTATCTAAAACAAATTTTTATATTTATTAGTAAATATATTATACGTCCTTGTTCTTTAGTAGCTTAACGCAGCAAGTTATATTTAAATTACCTAGATCTAGTATAAAACTAATAGCTATAGAAAGAAATTAATATAGTTATATAGTTAAGTATTATTAAGGATAGCACTATATTTCCTCTCTTAGATAATATATAGTCTAACTAAGGCAGAAGATTAAAGTATAAGTTAACTAGCTACTTAATAATAAAAGTAGAGAAGAGAGAGGGAGCTAAAACAAGAGCGTACTAACAAAAGTAAACATATAGTTCTAAAAGACTATAAGAACCTTATTAAAACTATCTAAGATATAATACTAATAGGTTTCAGCCTAGTTATAAACTAGAGTACTAACACTAACACCCTAGAGACCTTATATATATAGTACTAGCTCTACTACTACCTTAGCTAGCTATATCTATACTACTAGTCAGCTAAAGTTATTATTTAGACTAGTAGAGAGCGTCTAGAACTCTTTACTAGCTTTACTGTTATATTTATCTCCTATAGCTACCCTAAACGGCTCTTGCTACTAAGGATAATTATCTTACTTAAGAGCGTAATTAAGGAGGCCTTCCCTATTAGGGACATCAAGGCATACGCTAGCTATATTAAGTAGATCTACTAATATGGCTTAGAAAACTGCGTCTAGGAGAGGCTAGAGCAGAGGGTAGTATAGTAGAACATGCACTATAAGGTGCTTCTCTAGGACTTCCTCACCTATAGGGGCATAGTAAGGCCGTAAGACTACTATAATAATAATATATTTATTACTACTAGTAAGCCCCTATGCCGGTTATACTACTACTTCTTTCAGGATCTAGGAAATAACTTCCTTATATAGACGCCCTATATAAATATATACCCTAAGTAGCAGCTATCTAACGTATATAAGGAGGAAGGGTAGGATAGGGACGCCGTCGTTATGCGCCAGGAGAAGCTACTGGACGACTTAGTCTGGCAGATGTAGTAGGACACACTTGGCTTCGTCAGGGAGCAGCACTCGCAGTAGAAGCGCAACGATTCGCGCACTCAGTCGTGGGCAGACGTGTCGAGGTACGGGGGAGGCAGCGACACGCGGGCCTCTGGCCGCTTTTCCAGCGCGAGCGGGACCAGCGGGCAGGGCACAGGGATAGGGGCCGAGGGGCCGGGTTTCGGGTTCCGGATTCCTGCTGGGTTAGGGTTACATCGGATTTGCCACCTAGGGCGGCTGAATTGAGACGACTACACGTCTGGGGGGGGGTTGGTGGGAACTTGGCTTGTAATCTCGTTGGTCACTGCTTCTTACTAGTTACTAGTTATAAGCTGAAATATATCTATAGTTCGTCAGGCGAGTACGCGTGGTCTGCACAAGTATCTGCTGGGCTACATTACCCCTGAGGTGTACCACCTCATCGACCCACGTGAGCAAGCTGTCTAGCTGGCACATGCGGAGATTTACAAGGGCGCGAGAGACGTGCGCCTGGTCCTCCGGATCCAGGAGCGACAAGGGCTTCTGCGCGGCGGCGGCGGCGGCGGCGGCAACCTGCTCGACGGTGTTGAAGACGGCCTTGAAACTGTCGAGGACGACGTTGCAGACGGAGGCGACCTGGGTCATGGCCTCGGAGCGGAGGCTGCAGCTCCCGCAGCGGAGCAGGGCCTCGCTGGCGACCATGGCGTTCTTCTGGTAGAGGAACAGCTGGCCGACGGACCCGTACAGACCGAATCCCCCGGCGGCGGCGGCGGCGGCTGCGGGCTCGTCGCGGTCGCCCTCATCGTCGTCGTCGCCGCCGCCGCCGTCACGGGCTTGGGCTTTCCAAAGGACCATCTCCAGATACAGGTCTTCGTAGGCCTTGAGCACCCTGTCGACGCAGGAAGCCGCGTCGTTGTTATCGCCTTTACAGCAGCAGCCGCCGCCGCCGCCGCCCGAGTCGCTGGAACCTGCGGTGGTGGTGGTGGTGGTGGTGGTGGTGGTAGTGGCAGCGGTGGCAGTACTGTAAGAAGTGTCTGGGGTTAGCGGCGCTGCTCCTGCTGCTGCTGCTTTAGCTTTTGTGTAGTAGTACTGGGCGCTGTGCTGCTGCTGCTGCTGCTGCTGCTGCTGCTGCCGCGGTTGTGAGCGGGGCGTGGTGTTACAGGCGCCCCTAGGGGCCACCGCAGCGGGTGGGGCGCAATGGAATCCATCGTCGGGACTATTATTATCCGTGGGTGGTCGAATGAGCGTGTTGCCGGCGCCGCCGCCAAAGGCTTTTTCTATTTCCTGCAGCATCATGGATTGCGTCACGTGCAGAAACTCGTTGTCCGCAGCGTCGGGGACGAATTGGTCGACGTCGTTGAACAACGATGCTGAGTCGCGCGTCTGGTCATGGTCATGGCCCTGGTGATGCGAACCGGCCTCCTGTGAATGGGAGCTCGCGCCATGACGATGCTGCCGCCGCTGCTGCTGCTGTCTCGCCGATGACAGGGGCCGGGGCGGATACGTGCATTGGACATGCTTGACGCGACAAGTCTGGCATCCCTGGGCTTCTCCTGTGCATTTGATCTATAGTAATAGCCGCTGGCGTGTCAGTATTTGTCCTCCGTCCGTCCACTGCGCAGACAGACTAGACTTGGGGCTGCCTGCCTGCCTGCCTACTTGCACGGGGTTAGGGGCCTCGAGAGCGGCCAGTTTACATTACATACCTTCTTGGCCCGGCAGCGGATGCAGGCGGTGGGTGTTAGGTGGATGCGCTGCTTGCGGAACGGAGGCGCGCTCAGCTCCAACCCATCGTCACTGTCGTCGTAGTCAGTTGAGCGCCGTGGGCGGAACGTGGCAAACATTGGCGGTAATCTGATGGAGGACAGATGTTCGGCGGTATGAGACGACGCAGTTTATGAGGGCTTCCCGACGGATGGATGGATGGATGGATAATGAATGACGAGTGGGAAAGAGAGAGCAGGCGAGACCGAGATATATCCACAGGTTCGTCTAGTCGGCCTCGCCTGCCATGGTGGCGGCGTCTGACGATCAGTGGGACCGTCAAGACTTTATGAAGCAAGGCGGACTGTTGGCAAAGTCCGGACGCCGCCTGCATCGTAGGGTAGGGGACGCCTTGGATAAGTTTTGGACGATGTAACCACTTGATGTCGCGAATACCCAGACAGACAGCAAGCAAGCAACGAACGTGAAAGGGATCAGGGGGACGGACCACTCTTGTTCTCTGTAATTTAAACTCAAAACCACTTCCCTGACACGACCACTCCACATTTATACAGCCGGAAATTGCCGCGTCTATATCCGATCCTCGTGATGGCCGTTCAAATGCACCATGCATACTTTTGGGTGGTCGCTTGTTGTTGTTGTTGTTCTTGTTGTTGTCGTCGTCGTTGCCTTTTAACGTCGTGTTCACGAGTTCGAGTCTCGGTGGTTGGTTCACAGGCAGGCAGGTTGCATGCAAGCATGCAGTTGTTGCGCGCGCATGTGATCGCGCATGGGTCGGGGGTGGCATTACATTACTTAAGCACATCCCGCGCCTCATTACATACATACATACGGATACTTTGGCCGCTTCAGCAGATGTTATCCATCCACTTATGTAACCGTCAGATGTCACAGACTGGCCGGCCCGCCCCGCCCCTGCCTGGCTACTTACATCGTACGACATCGTACGTACGCACGCAGTAAATGCAACCAGACAGCAGCAAGTGTTGGACTTGACTGTAACATGGGTACCTATCAACAAACTTCGTGATCCGTGGTTTAGTGAACTTGCAGGATGTGTTGAAATACTACCTATGTCATTGTTACCTCGGGCGGACATGATGCCGAACTGGCTACAGCCACCTTTCTTCTGTGGCTTGTGTGGCTTGTGTGGCTTGTGTGGCGCAAGTCGCTCACAGAAACATGTATTGACCTCAGACCAGCCTAGATACGTACCTACCTACCTACCTACCTACATGCATGTCAGCCAAACGTTACGCCCTCTCCTGCTTCCTTCACGACCCTGCTCGACATGTCTCGCAACACATATATTTGACCATACAGGTCCGTGACGTCGCAGAACATGCGCCAACACGCCATCCATCGTGTCTTCGATGCCCTCTGCCGTCCCGACGTGCCCACCGCCTGAGTCGACGCCGCCTGGAGCCGCCCCATGGCTTCCATGAGACAGGCTCGCTCGAACTGCGCCAGCGAGAAGAGCGAGCCCTTGGCCGATGCCGTGCCGCCCACGCGGAACTCGGCAAAGTCGAGCGAGTTGAGATTCCCCTCGGCCGCGTCGCGCGCCACAGACCCCAAGTCGTTGTACATGCGGCACATGGTCGCGAGGTGCCGGCTGGCCGCCGCCGCCAGGTACTTTTCCTCCACTGTGCGGAAGCACTCAGGCGTCCCCCTCCCCCCGCTCGCCATGCCCGTCGTCGCCACCGTGTTTGGGATCAGACACGCCAAGAAGGCAAAGTAGCACGGCGCCGACGTGTGATCCGCCGACGTGGAGCGGACCCAGGAGAAGAAGGACGATGCGGGCCATTTGGCATTCCCGTCGCGTCCGCATCCGTCGTCGCTCTCCGCGGCCCCGCGCCCAGCGAGCCGTAAGTTGTCCTGTAGCTGCTGGATATGCGCGAGCAGGTAAAGTTGCAGCTCGCGGTCCAAGTTGACCTGATCTGCCGCGCTTGCGGCAGCAACCGCCCAGTGGTTCCTGATGTAGTCCACATAACGTCTGAGCGGCTCCAGACGCGCCGCCGTCTCTCGGCAGGCCGGGCTGCCGTCCATGTGCACGTCTTTTGGCGCACTAGTCTTCTTGTCATCGGGGAACAGGTCCAGGACAAAGTCCCGCAGGACCTTCAGATCTCCGGCAACGGCCGGCCCCGCCTCCGCCTCTATGAACTCGTCGACCTGGTAGCTCAGCATGGAGATGTTCATCATCTCCCAGAGGAACAGTGGCGACGCCCTGAAGCCCGCGCGCATGTCGCATCCGGTCCAGGTGAAGGGTATCATGTCGAGGTACTTGTCGACTGCCAAGCCCGCGCGATTGAAGACGTCGAATTTGTGCTGCTGCAGGAGGGGGGAGAAGAGGAAGCCCTCGACCAGGGCTGCGCGGAGTTGCTCCTCGGGCGTCTCGGAAAAAAGAGGCGTTCTCTTGTACAGCTGGAGGAACGCTTCGCCTTGCCGAGGTATCGTTGCCGGAGCTTTCAAGACACGGCCTACGACGGCCCGTGTCGGGATCGAGCTCGCCAGCTTCAGGGCTGCGAGACGGTATGCTTGACACACGACGGCGCTCCGGTACGTGACCTTTTCGATCCAGAGGTAATCGCCCGACGGACATGTTCTCGGTTCCAGGAACGCGCTTCCTCTTTGCACCGCGTTCCGGAGCTGGCTTCGGATGGGGTCGAATACGACGACGCGACAGGCCACGGAGAGCAATATCACAGCGTATGCCGTCTCCTCTACCGAGTTGTTCCAGCATCCCGCCGCATCCTGTTCGCGCATCGTGCGCGCACCCGCTTGGAATATGGCGATCGAAGCCCTTACCCTGGTGTCTCTGTCTAGAACGGATTCCGGCAGACGGCCACTCTCGATGAGTTCGAGCATCTCCACCAAGGCCTGCATCATAAGCATCGATGGGTAGATATGCGACAGATTCTGCAGGGAAAGCCCGGCAATGTTAACGATGAACGATCCGCGCAAAGACAGTGATGATGGAGGGCCCGGATTCCCCAGTTGTTAACTCACCCATTTATCCTTGACTGGCCCGTCTGTCTTCCACCAAGTGTCGCACAGGAATCTGGCCCCCTTTGCAATCTGGCTCGCGTACTGGGACGGCTCGGGCTGGTGAAGCAACGCGAGAAGGACGTTGCAGTTGGCGCTCAGGCTGCTATCGCGCTCCGACGGGTACGTCCGGAAATGCGTCTCGGTTTCAAACTCGTCAACCATTCCCGCGGCGGACTTGTTGAGACACAGAATGTTCAGGACGGACAAGGTCTTGGCGGTGTCGTCTGCATCGGCCATGATGGAGGGCGCTGCGATGGCAGGCAAATAATCCGTTAGCGCCCTCGCCACTTTGCAAATTGCAGACAGCACCGCTGGGGGGGGGGGGATTCAATAACAGCGCAGGCTTACCGAACCCAACGACCCCGTTCCCTGCTTCGAACGCACGTTCGAGTACGTCGGCCACTACCTTTACAGACGGGCCTAGCTCATCCCGTGTGAATCCGGCTTGGAGAAGTGTGGATAGGACCTTGTTATTTTGCCCTACGAGTCAGCATGTTGTCGGGGCTTCGTCTTTTGATGATATCGGCACATTGAGAGGGGGGGGGGGGTATTGTTCTCACCCATGAGAACTCAAAATTGGTCGACGGAAAAGCGCTCGGAACACAGCCGTTGCCTGGGCTCCTCCTCAACACTTCTCTCAGGTAGTCCTCTGCCTCTGGATCCCACGACGTTGGCGGCAGCCCGATGAGATAGGCCGCGGTGGACGACGGTGACGCCATGAAGCCGCCCCCGAGCTTGTGGTGGGCGACCTTCTCGTAGTCTATCATGCCCATGAAGGCCTCCAACGAGTGCAAGGCGGTCAGCTTCATTTTTCCGTAGAGGATCTCGGGCCTGAAACGCGACATTTTGGCGGCGTGGATCTCCATGAGGGCGTGCTTCCCCTCGAACTCGAACTCGAGCCCGCCTTGGCCGAGAAGGCGGAGGAGCGTGGGGACGATGATCTCGAAGCCGACGTGCGACGTCTGCGACACGTCCCAGGCGGCGAGCCTGTTTTGCAAGGCGGCGGTCGCTCGCTCGATGCGCCGACCGAGATCCGCGCTGCTGCTGCTGCTGCTGCTGCTGCTGCTGTCTGCGGATTCGGCATGTCGTTGAAGCGCCAAGAGCGAGGCCGCCGTGTTAAGGATCCCGTCAATGTCGGAGTTGTAGGCGTCCCAGCCGCCGTCGTCGCGCTGCGTGTCGAGGACGTACTGGAAACACTCGGGGAACACCCACAGCGGCTGCCCCCCGTCGGCCGCCTGCCTCTTCACGAGCGAAACCCAAGCCGTGTCGTACACGGTGCAGCTCATGAAGCCGGCGCCGTGCTGGTCGCTGTAGTCCGCGAGCAGGTGCTGGGTCAGAGATGCGGCTTGGCAACTGAGGCTGTCCGCCTCTAGGCCGGGAAGGGAGCCCATGTTTTCTTGTGGGTTGAAGAGTGACTGACTGGGAGAAAGAGCAGATAACGCTGTGGCAACTAGACAGACCAAATCCCGTTAGAGTTTCAACCCTCGATTTAAAAAGATTCTGGTTATCAAGAAAGGCGTGGCGTCACATGGCTCACAGAAGCAAGTTTCAAGGCATGATCAAGCCGTCAAGCCGAGTAGTGTGTCCCCGGTTGCCGATCACACCTGCCGAGATATTGACAATGTTTGCGCCTTGCTATTAATACCCCCCTTGCCATCCGACACATTCGGCCTCCCTGGCCCGTTCTCCACGGACTCTGTTAGATGTGTCGGAGCACCTTGGGTAGTGTTCCGGCCGGAGGCTTCCGTGTTGGATTCGGAGCTCAGACATTTCCCAACCTGGTGGGTGTCCTTGTGGGGCCCCGAGAACTGCGTCGTGGTGGAGACGGACGGAGCGCTATAATACGCTTACATGCGCGGAAGTTCGCATAGTGCGAAGTCCGGCAGGGGGGGCCGTCGTTCGGTCAGTTTACGGTACGGCAATTCTTGAACCTCCGTTATCCGTCGTACATAACCCCCACGTCGACACTATGGAAGCTGATGATGGCTGGCTGACGGACGGGCTGTAGGTCTCGGCCCGGGCTGTCTGGGCACCCCTGCTTACCGAGAGAGCAGTACACCAAAAACAAGGTTCACGCTAGAAAACCAGCCATGCGGATCTTGTCTGCTCGCATGTTATTTGGTTGGACCTTCATTTCTCTCACACATCACTGACGTCGCGGAAGGCGCGGCGGGCTACTGCTGTACTTACGGCGGGGCGCATCGTTAACGTCTTCATTATCCATGAACCCGGTCGTGTCCCGAGCCGCCGTCGACGCCCTACGTTCAAACCCCGGACGAAGCGTTATTGGTAGATGGCTAGTGACGGCTCGCGCAAGTGAAAGATGATGGTGTGGTGTTATTTAGATGTGCCGGCCTCGATTAGTCCCTGCACGCACACAGGTGCCTATTCTGTGAACCAGACTAGTTCCGTCATTTCATCTCCTCCTAGGTAGTACAATGGGCAGCTTGTTGCATGAGAGGTAACATGACTTTGTTGCCAACCTTGACGGAACCTCGCAGTGCTAACGGCAACTGCAGCGCGCATAGGGCGTCAACAGACAGCGCTATAGCCGTGGAAGAAACCCTGTCGATTACCCCCGGCTCATCATGGCGGCAAGACACCACGGTATCAAGTCTATGGCATCAGGCAAATGCAGTTGACTCGGCGGGAGAGCCGGCCGAAATGTCGGAGCTGTGGTTGGGAAACAGCGTTGGCGACGAGCCGGCGAGGAGGTTTCTTCTCCCCCGAGCAGTCCATGGCTGTTTGCAGACGATGGCCACGCGCGACCCTGTCGGGGCCCAGAAGGTCGCCGACGCACTCATGAAATGGGCGCAATCCTCCCGGGAAGAGGAGCCGACTCCGGCTTCGCAGCGCTCGTGGGCAGAATATGCAACGAAATGTTTGATCGAGCCCGTGTCTAGGTATGTTCAGCATCTCTCCTCCGGCCTAGCCAGGCGCGCCCCCGTGCAATTCGATTGCGGCCTACTCCCAGCCGCTGGGGATATTGAGTACTGACATGGTCACGAACGAGGCTGGTGTTGAGCCTGATCAGCTTCGAGCTCGGGCTCGACCTCGACGACGGTGAATTCCGGACGTGCCAGCGGCTGTGCCGCGGCGCCTTCCTCTCGATCGGCATCCAGCTGCGCCTCGGCAGCACGGGCAGCCGAAAAGAGGCAGGGCCGGCCGTCGGGGGAGTCGAGCGGCCTTCTTCTTCGCGCCTCGCCGCGGCGGTCATGTCCCTGTTCCGCGTGGACCACGGCCGGGCCATTGCCTTTTGCGAGGGCCAGGTTCTCCAAGGTGCCGAGGAATACCGCGCCTTGCTGCGAGACGCGGCGGACAGGCCCAACCTCTCTCGCGCCGTCCTCCTCAACATCGACAGGCTGCGGTGTTACTTTGCCGCAGACTCCCTGGCTGCGGGACTGCTATCGAACACGCCTGCCACGTCACGCGGGGATTGTAACGGCGTACAAAATGGGAACCAAAGTGATGGCAAAATCACCCAACTCAAGGGGAATCTCAACGGGACCAATGGGACCAACGGCACCTACTGTATCAACGGGCCCAACGGGACCGACGGCAATAATGACCAGGCCAATGAGTCGCTGCAAAGACACTACAGCGTGCGAGAGCAAACCATTTCAACCCTGATCAGCATCAGAAATACAAGCTCGTCACTGGAGGTAAGCATACCAGCCGTTCAAGACCCCATCAAACAGGCATTCAGGCGCCTTCGCTTACACGTTGTTTGACAAAAGCCCGTAGCTGCTCCTTTCGACTACGTCTGCTCCCTTAAGTCCAAGGGCGTACGCAATAAGCTCATTGCGGCGCTGGACGTTTGGATACCCTCGCCCCCCGCGGTCTTGGAATCCGTCATGTCCGCCGTGGCAGACGTACACAACACTTCCCTAATGTAAGCGACCTCGAGCCCATCGCCAACATTAACGGCAGTTCTCTGACCCAAGATCAAATCGACCTGGTTCTAGGCTGGATGATGTACAAGACGGCTCGCCGCTCCGCCGCTCATCCCCGGCTACTCACACCATCTTTGGGATGCCACAGACTGTGAACTCGGCCGTTTACCAAACAGTCAACACGATCGAGCGGGTTTTGGCCAGCGGCAATTTGCGGATGGTGAACGAGCTAGTTTGTACGGATTCACAATCTCCGACATGGACCCGACTTTATGCTGATTATAAACCTAGCGGGAATGAAGACGTTGCTGATCGGGCAAGGGCTCGATCTGCTATGGACATGGGAGGTTTCGACACCGTCACTCGAGGAATATCTACAAATGGTCGACAGCAGTAAGCCCTATTCCCACTCTCCGATGGCGCCCGAGTCACCGTTCTGACGCTCCGCGATATTTCCAATCCCTCAGAAACGGGCGCGCTGTTCCTCATGATTCACAGACTCATGGCGGCCGCATCACCCGGCGCCGACGTGGAGCCGGCATTGGACAGGCTGATGCTGTTGCTCGGGCGCTATTTCCAAATACGCGACGACTACGCCAATCTAGCGTCGCCCGATGTAAGCCCCCCCCCCTGGTCCCCCGTCCCCGACAAAGCGATGCACGGCGTCATTTGTTTTTTGGCGTCCGAAGCGGTTTCCGGACGCTAAACTGAACCATGGACAGTACTCAAAGTCGAAAGGCTTCTGCGAGGACCTGGACGAAGGCAAGTGCAGCTTCATGATGCTGCACGCCATGCGCAACGCCGAGCCTCGTTCGCGCACGATCCTGAAGAACATGCTGCTACAACGGCACAAGGCGGGCTGCGCTGGCGTGGGCCACAAGGAGGCGATTCTGTCCATCTTGAAGGAGGCCGGGTCGCTCAAGTTCACGATCGAGATGCTCCGTGAAATGGAGGTTGCTCTGATCGCGGAGCTTGAGAGCGTCGAACGGATCACCGGGATACAGAACCCGATGCTAAGGGGCATACTGACGGCTTTAAAGGTATAGATATGATGGATTTACTGTAACGATAGAGGAAGATTGGCAGTGACGTTAAGGAATATGACCTTTCTGCTTTCTCTCTTGTGGAGTTGTATCACAGCCCCGAACGTACCGCGTCACCAATGTGCGAGTGATATCGAGGGGATAATTGTGACTCATATCCAACTGACACTAGCAAACAAAGTATATTCCCAGTTGATATGACGAAATTCGTTAATAGCCATGATGTAATGGAGCAATTCCCCCTGATGCAGCGTGAGGACTTATGAGCAGTGTTGAAAACACTGAGGGCTTGCAAGTTCGCAAGCACCGGCAGACCTTTTGAGTTTCGGGGTCAACTGATTGACGAGAGCCGACCGAGAACCTTTTGAAACCAAGAACCTCGAAATAAGGTCACGTAAGAAGATGGTGTCATTTAACTGTATTAAAAGTTGCTCTATTGGCAGTCCTCATAGCACTAACATTAGAGCACGACTACGTAAGATGAACTAAGATATACAAGACTATTGCAAGACAGACCAGATAAGCTTTGGAATTCCACAGATGAAGGACGTTTTTTAGTAACAGTATCTAGCTCTAAATTCTTATTAGTCGGTACCAAGGCAAGACAAACCCTCAGCTTGGCTCAACACTGAACGTCCGCCATCCTGGCCACACACCAGCCCACTCGTTAATCCCCCCCCTGCTGCAGCTTCTATACACGTACTGCCCAGGTGGCATTTCACGCATGGGTGCTTTCCTCTTTCTCCGGCACGATTCAGCAACACATGAGTCGCCGACTGGGTTGCTCCTAGTTTCGTGGGGTAAGGTGAACTTTGAGCGGCGGCTTGAACCACACAATGTAGACCTCCTGGTTCTCTCCCCAGTTCTTGCTTTCCTCGGCAAGTCGCATGTCAAAGTTCCAGAGTAGGCGGGCCAGAATGATGCGCATTTCGCCATAAGCAAGGCTGGAGAAAATGCAAGAATGCTGTCGTCAGCCAAAAGCCCGTGGCCGTTGGGGGGGTCAAGAGTCGAGAAAACTCCTTGATGAGACGGAAGCACTTACTTTCTTCCGAGACAATCGCGGGGTCCCAGCGAAAACGGCTGCGACGCCTCCTTCTGGTCCCGGTCATAAGCCGCATCCCCTAGCCAGCGCTCCGGGACGAACTTGTTCGCGTCCTTGAAGTACTCTTCGTTGGTCGACATGGGCCACTGCCATATGTCGAGGATTGTCTGCGGGCGAGATAATATCAGTAAATGTTTGGCGGTCTTTGACTCGGGGGGAAAAAAAAAAAAAAACCGGCAGATGTCTCTCTAGCACAGAGAACGCCTCACTCACGCCTGGCGGCACGTATTCGCCGAATATCATGTTCCCCTCCGGCGGCGTGATCCGAGGGACGGTACTGGGGACGGCCGGATAGATCCTCAACGCTTCGCGTATGCAGGCGTCTAGGTAGGTCAGTTTCTCGACGCTCGCATAGTTGATCTCATCTTCCGACTCGAATCCGTTGCGGACCTCGTCCGTTACCCTCCTCAAGGCCTCCGGGGTCTTCAACAGGTGGTACAAGTGTCCCGACAACGCGGTGGCGGTCGTCTCCGACCCGGCCACCACGAGCGTGCCTGTGTTGCTGTAGATCTCTTCGATGCTCATGGACTGTTTTTGTTCGCTTGGTTTTAGCACGACAAGTTCCCTCCCCCGTTGCTAGCAAACCGGTCTGGAACCCTGGATGTAACTTACCAAGCCATTGGGCGTTCGGGACATGGCGTGCATGAGATCGAGTCGTGCCGTGTCGGTGGCCCGCCTCGTGTCGACAAGCTCCTTTGTTAGCGCATGGTGCTGCTCAACCTGTGTCGTCATCGACTTTGGAATGCAGGCCTTGATGACTTTTGCCAGGAGGGGTAGCTGGGCGATGGAATACATGTACGTTCCCAGCTTGACGTGCACGAAGATGAGCGACACCCACGGATGGTAGCTGCCGTTCCTGAGAGAGCCAAGGGGCTGGCCGAACGCAAGGTCGCCCACAATGTCGAACGTCGTACAGTTGAACCAGGTGACCATGTCGAGAGGGTTGGACCCGCCCTCGCCGAACTTGCGGAGCTGGTCCATGAGCAGGTCGACGTACTGGTTGATGATGGCCTGCTGCTCCTTGATAAACTGGGCCGAGAAGCCGACCGACAGCAGGCGCCGTTGCCGGCTGTGGTCTCTGCCGTCGGTGCCGGGGATGCTGAGCGGATCATAGTAGTTTGGCGCCTTGGGGT